AGCAGTCTACCACATGAAGTTGACTGGCAGAGCATGATCATTTACAAAAAACTACAATTACCAATCAAAAAAGGCCAGCGATAATGACCGAGATATTCCTCTATTTTTTTTATTTAGGAGTGTGTGTTAATTAAGCAAATGGACACCTGCGTGATGGTTATTGCCCGGAGACAGGTATTAGTTTTCTGTGTGCAGTGATATAACTCTCTTTCTGCAGGCCACTTGGAGCCACAGTTCTGGTCATGGTACTATGCTGAGTGTGGACTCTTATTGCCATAGATTTGTTTGTTGTCTTTAACACACAGCTCTCCACTTGTAAGACTGCTTTGAAAATGACTGAAATTCTGTGAAAGAGCAGATTTGCCCTGCACTGAGAAACGGATTCAGTGGTTAAAACTACTTCACCACAGTATTACAGCATAATCCGAAGCAAGATCTTCTTGCAAAAATATACAGTAGATGACAAAGAAGAGCTCTAGGGAAAAAGCTTCAGTTGATGTCATTTCCGAAGTCCCCAGTAACCACCTTCCTCTTGGTTTTCTAGCGACAAAGCCCAGACACCTTCCAAAGTGCACGCACAAGCGTGCAGCTGCAAGGGAGAACAGTGAAAGGCAGCTACCAAATTTCTTACAAATCCTTAAAGAGAAAAATCCAGGCAAAAGCTTTAAAGCTATTTTCACAACCTATATTTGAGGACAATTCACAATTTTAAAAATTCAATCCTTAGTCGTTGATAACTTGCTTATGTTACCTCAAGTTTTTAAAGGCCTTTTCCACAAGCATCATAATCTGCTTCAGCAGTTCCAGCAAAAAAAAAAAAAAAACAGGATTTTAAAGTTATACACAATCTGTCCCATCATATAGAAGATGTTAGGCAGTTCACATGGTACATAAACCTTTTCCCTCTAGAAAGGATAAATTTTAGGGAATAAAAAAGCATGATGATAAAAATGGAGCCAGGAATAAGCCTAAAATATACCTGTAACCCACTCACCTCACAGCCAGTATAATAGCAGAATGCATGGATATGCCCCCACCCTCACCTCCCTTCCTGGTCACCAAGGCCAGAACTGACAGGGACCACCACACTACCTGGCCTAGTGACTTCACTTAAAAACTAAGTAGAAAGAATGTGTCAATTTTAGGCAAAATTATGTGCCAAGGCCAGAGCCACAGGCTGCCTGCTACACAGCCAACACCAGGACAGGTGTAGGTTATCTGGGACTGTCTGCAGAAATGATTAAACTCTGCAGCATGACACAGGCCAAACCAATTAACAGAAAAATTACACATGAGATTGTGTACTATCAGTATAGGAAATTCAGGTTTTAAAAATACTAATCATGACATGTTTAAAGTATCTTTGAAATATAAAAATAAAATACATTCTGGTGATGGAAAATCATTATTGAAGTTTCTTCAGCGTAATTTGTCTCAAAGTTAACGGATTGCATTTATTTTTCCAGGATAAAGTAACTTTGGGTTTTAATTCTTAGGGTACTGAGACTTAAGATTTCTACCCACCACTCATCTGTCACTTTGTTGTACTATGATGGCTTGCATGTCTGCCGTGATACTGGAAGCTTTGACTCCGGTATTTCAAATACCAGCAGGGTCACCCTTGGTGGACAGGTTTCAGAGAAACTTACAGACTAAAACAGACTAGGAATGTTCAAAAATTAAATGCACAAAGACCTAGAGTTAGAAAACCAAAAGAGAAGAACATGCTCGGCACTTCTCAAGCTGAAAGAACTGAAGAAAAAATTCAAGCCTAGAGTTGCCCTTTGGAAGGATTCTATGGGCAAAATACTGAATGACACAAGAGGCACCAAAAGCAGATGGAAGGAATACACAGAATCACTGCACCAAAAAGAACTGGTTGACGTTCAACCATTCCAGGAGGTGGCATATAATCAAGAACTGATGGGAGTGAATGAAGAAGTCCAAGCTGCACTGAAGGGAATGGCGAAAAAGAAGTCTCCCTGTATTGACGGAATACCAGTTGAGATGCTTCAACAAACAGATGCAGTGCTGCAGGAGCACACTCATCTATGTCAAGAAATTTGGAAGACAGCTACCTGGCTGGGAGAGATCCATATCTGTGCCCATTCTAAAGAAAGGTGATCCAACCGAATGCGGGAATTATCGAACAATACCACACACAAGTAAAGTTTTGCTGAAGATCATTCAAAAGTGGCTGCAGCAGTACATCAACAGGGAACTGCCAGAAGTTGACGCCAGATTCAGACGAGGACATGCAATGAGGGATATCACTGCTCATGTCAGATGGATCTTGGCTGAAAGCAGAGAATACCAGAAAGATGTTTACCTGTCTTTTATTAACTATGCAAAGGCATTCAACTGTGTGGATCATAACAAATTACGGATAACATTGTGAAAAATGAGAATCCCAGAACACTTAATTGTGCTCATGAGGAACCTATACATAGATCAAGAGGCAGTCGTTCGACAGGGGAAGGGGATACTGCCTGGTTTAAAATCAAGAAAGGTGTACATCAGGGTTGTATCCTTTCACCATACTTACTCAATCTGTATGCTCAGCAAATAACCCAAGAATATATGAAAAACAATGCGGCATCAGGATTGGTGGAAGACTCATTAAGAATCTGCAATATGCAGACGCAACCTTGCTTGTTGAAAGCGAAGAGGATTTAAAACACTGATGAAGATCAAAGACCACAGCCTTCAGTATGGATTACACTTCAATATAAAGAAAACAAAAATCCTCACAACGGGACCAATAAGCAACATCGTGATAAATGCAGAAAAGATTCAAGTTGTCAAGGATTTCATTTCACTTGGATCCACGATCAACACCCATGGAAGCAGCAGTCAAGAAATCAGACGACATACTGCACTGGGCAAATCTTTTTTAAGTATTAAAAAGCAAAGATGTCACCTTGAGGACTAAGGTACGCCTGACCCAAGCCATGACATTTTCAATTGCCTCATATTCGTGTGAAAGCTGGACAATGAATAAGACAGACTGAAGAACTGACACCTTTTAATCATGGTGTTGGCCAAGAATATTGAATATACCACGGACCACCAGAATAACGAACAAGTCTGCCTTAGGAGAAATACAGCAAAAGTGCTCTTTGGAAGCAAGGATGGCAAGACTTCGTCTCATGTTCTTTGGACACGTTATCAGGAGGGTCCAGTCCCTGGAGTCATGCTTGGTAGAGGGTCAGCAAAGATGAGGAAGACCCTCAACGAGATGGACTGACACAGTGGCTGCAACAATGGGCTCAAGCATAACAACGATTGTGAGGATGGCGCAGGACCAGTAGTGTTTCGTTCTGTTGTGCACGGGGTCACCATGAGTTGGAACCGACTTGACCGCACCCAACAAGATTTCTACATCCTACTGACAAATGCAAAACCTTTTATTAGTCAATTTGGAAATAAGAAAACACTTTTTTGCTAACATCAACTTATGAAATAAGGTTACAAAAATTATTAATAGAAAATATTAGACTATAGACTACTCCCAAATCACCCTACTAAAGTAATTTAATTCGGTGGCGCCAGCAGAGCGGCCTGGGCACAATGTGTGGTCAGGTAGCCTGGGTCTGACCGTCAGCTCTGCCCGCTTCTCCAAACCCTCACCAATCTACAAGCAGTGCTATCCTCACCAGATTGTTAAGAATTAAATGCAATCAAGCATGTAAAGTGCTTGGTACAGTACTTATGAGCATAATGCTTTTATTATCACAGAGCTATAATTGTACTAAGACAAAGAAAAGGCCCATCCCTCCAGTTTTCCAACAGAGTGGTAACTACTTAAAACACTGACCTGACACGAGTTTACCAATGCCAGCCGTCAACCTCTAACCTTTAAACTTACTTGGTTATTTTCCAGGAAAATATTTAGCAAGCTGTACCTTCCATACCACAGGCAGTGATTTAATTTACCTTCAGCAAAGAAGAATAAAAAATCTAGACTAGGGTGAGCACTTGTGCTTTCTTTCATATAGCAAGACTCCAGTTGTTCACTTCCTGCCCAAAACGACAGCATTCTATGGGGGCCAGAAAGGCTCTAAAACCAGTCCCACTTGCCAGTTCCACACTCAGCACTTGCCTCAGTCACCGTGAGCTTAAAAGCCAGGTTTCCTGAGGCCCCAGTTAAAGAGTTTATTCCACCACCAGGCGTCATTGTCATAAAAGCAAAAAAAAGTAACCTATCCTAGCCTTAACCATGAGTTCCTTGGGCTCAACTGAGCGAGGAAAAAAGAACAACAAAAGTCTAATTTTAACTACATCATAACTACTTTCAACCTTGCTGATTAAAATTACCAAGGAAAATAAAACACAGCACACACAGGTTGTAATCTTACCTTCATTTATCCCTACTGTTGAGAAATGGAGATTTTTCACTACAGAATCTCAATTGACTGGTACTGAGTATGAACAGAAGTATTTATAGGCAATATTCAAAGCAAGAGTAGATGTGAAAGTTTAAAATACAAATTACTGCACAGTAAAACCCATGAGAGCTGGAACCTATGTAAGGTGAAAACCTGTCAGAGAAGGAAAACACAGAAATACTTCCCACTAAAACAAGAGATTAAGTGGTAAGACTGTATCCTGTCAAAGGCAGAAGGAAAACCTGCAAAACCTGGAAAAACAAGGCAGTTATCATTGAGTTCCAGCTCTCACTGTACTTAATTCTACTTAAAACCACTCTAGGTTTAAAATTTTATGATAAACTAAAAATTCTCATTAATGTCAAACCACAAACAGAGTATTTTGGACTACTTAATGTATCTGGGATACTGACTATTACCCCCCATCTGCCCACTTTCAGGTGTTATTAAATGCTATTATGAAAATTAAAATCCTATTTCCTTCTCTTCCTAGCCTATGAATATGGCATTTACGTGTGGTTAAAAAAGAAAAAAAAAGTTACCTGACTTAGAAACTTTCAAAGGCAGCTTTAACACATACTTGCCCAAGAGCACAAAATTTACAGTCAGAAGTTGCACATAAAGGGTTTATTTTAAATGTTTTGAGAATAGGATAGAGTTACATCATAATTATAAAAATTACTTACAGAATTAACAGATTTATATTGTTTATACTTCTAAATGCAGAGAACAGGGAACTGTATACACATTGTATAAAATAAAATGAAAATTAAAAATGAATTCAAGCTCTAAAGATGAGGTCATTTACCTAATTTTAAAATGTGAACACGAAGACCTCTGAACTGTACACTTTCATTCAAACTGCACTAATGATGTAAAATACAAAAAGCGCAGCATTTCCAAGGAACCACAAACATTTCAACCATAATTACTTTCTGTCATAATAATTGTTTCTGTTTTGTCTTTGGAGAATTTTCTTTTCTTTTTTTTTTTTTAAGACAATCAGCTTAAGAATGATTTTAGGCACTAACAATTTGTGACAATCAAAACAGTCTTCTAATGGGTCTACAGCTTGCAAAAATTCAAGTCCAATGCACTTTGGGGTTTGGCACATAAAACAATAATAGAAATGAAATCTGTTTTTAGAAGTAACTGTGATTTTTTTTAAGAATACACAGTCCCTTCAAATGCTGCATGACATATACAAGTGGAAAACTACCTTCTGTTGGCACTACATTTGCTTCACCAGTGCATTTTATCCTACGACCACTACAACAGCACAGTAAGCAAATATACAGAAAACTGAAAACAAAGAAAACAAAAAACCTAGATACCTTTAACATGCAATTTTAGTTAGTTACATTGAACATTCTACTTAGAATAGAGCATGCAAAAAAGGATGGTCTGCTTTTAAGATTTTTCTTTGAAGCTTTACATGGCAGCCTGACCTCTCTCTCTATCTCTCTCTCTCTCTCTCATACACACACACACACACACACACACACACACACACACACACACAAAATACAGTAATACTATAGCAGGTAAATGAGAAAGGCCAATAAATTTTATACACAGATTCATGTCTTGTGTCATCACAAGCCCCGTGATAATTCTGGAAGTTAATGCTAAATTCCGAGAACAAGGAACCAACATTTAGACCAGGAAAATGCAAGCAACACATGCAGAGATCTGAACCATGAGCCTCAAATGAAGCCAAAGACACAAGAGCTATGGTGTAAAGTCACAGCATCAATGTGGTTTAAGCCACCAAAAGAATGGAAAAAACAAAACAAAACAAATATCCTTCCTCTTCCCTCAACCCTATAAGCAATAAATGGAACAATTATTAAAATAATAATTACATGTCACATTCACCTACAGATTAGCAGATCATGTGGTGTAGTAAAGTTGCTGAAGCTGCTTGCAGAAAATCCACAATGCAAGTCATTAGGTAATGCTAAAAACGTTTCAGTTGACCCAACCCTCAGGATACTTCAAAACGAACTTTATTTTTCACTGTACCATGTTATGCACATATTGCGTGTGCTGGATACACTCACTGTTGTGTCACAAATATCAGCTTGGGCTCATGGAGCCAGGCTCAGCCTTGAGATATACATGCAGGGACTCAAAACAAAATGGGAGACAACAGAAAAACACCAGATCTGCGTATGAAACTCGTTCAAACACCTATGACCTGGGCACTCAGTGCTTTCGTACTGCATTGGAAGCTTGCCTTTGGTTGCCCAGGGTGAAAAACTGGGCCCAACGAAGCCATGGACAGTAGCTGGTACCATCCAACAGCACGATGAGACACACACCTTAAGGCTAGAATGGGAGTCAAGCAAAACCTGCGGAGACGCTAAAACTCCCAACCTCTAACATCAGGAACAGCCACAGCAAAGAGCTCCCTCGGCCCTCTGATTCAAAACCTCTGGTGTTGACCGAAAGCTCACACGGTTGGCCTTCTGTACACTAAACAGACAAGGTCAAATCGCAGGTCTGAGCCTCTCCATTAGAGAGACTGGTTTCACATACTGCTTTTTCTCCTTGCTTTCAAACCACCAACATGCATCCAAAACAAAGTGATATGTGGCAATTCTGGTGCTAAACCAACCATTTTTGCGGTTCTATTTCGGTTTAAAACTACTTTGCAGGAATAAACCATAAAAGGATTCTGTGGCTAAGGGCTCCTATTACTTACACCCGGAAGCTAACATAGACGATGGAACCTTATATGGTAAAACATCACTGACATGCAAAATCCTAGAGTCCACTGAATGGAATCCACATTAACAGCGTACTGTAAGCAAGGACATAAAACACGACAAAAGGCATCAATCAATATATTTAAGAAGACATTCTTTGTGGGGAAAAGCCAGGGAGAAAAAGCCTTTTGACCATAATCATATATCAATAATAACAGTAATAAAAAAGAAAAGAATCCCAAAGAACTTGTTAAAGGCAACAATGTCATTCTTAAAACTTACATTTCTAATATAAAAGTACTGTGTTCTTCCAGGAACTTAAAACACACACAAACCACTGATGTGCTGTTACCTTTTAAATTCATATTAAAATCCAGGTTTCTAATTTGTACAAATAATGGGCCAAATGTGACATCCAAAATATACCTGCATTATACTTTGTGGGACAAGTACTTGGGTTTTACTAAAAGTATTTATAATTTAAAGTGTAACAACAACAACAAAAAATTACAATGCTTAGAATTAAAGGCAGCCTTGTAGCCAGATAGCTGACCAGTTTGTAAAATGTCTAATGTGGGTCATTAACTGTGTTTGTAAGTGATTCAGATTTGGACTTATCATTTAAAGTCTCCAGATTTAAAAGGTGCACTGCACTTTCACTTCTCAGAAAAAGCTGACCATCCCTATGTGCTTCCTGTGTCCAAATTTAAGTTTAAATAAAAAAGAGTAATATAGTATATATGACTGACTCGGGTCAAGCACTCCTGTTAAACTGGAGAAAATTATTTAACCCCTTATCCAATCCACAAAGAAAGGACTGCCAATAGAGAGACAGAGAGAGAGAGAGAAAATACATATATCTATGTGTATAAATATGTACTCTCTATATATACACACATAGATACACAGATAAGTAGGTAGATAGGTATAGATATATATATATATCTCAAAAAGGCAGTAACAAAAAACACCAAACTACACTTGCATTGTGGCAGCAGAATAAGAGAGTTAGGGTGAAGGAGAAAATGGTTAAGATCTATTACAGTTTTAGATGATTATGATATTAGCTTAACTGTTACCAAATTGCCTGTAACTCCTCTCCAAAGAAACAGACTTCTTTTAAGAGGAAGGAGTTCCTTACACAAAATGCTTTGTGTTCACATAAATCTGTACCACTGAGAACAAAACAGTTTTGCTGGCAGAGATTGTGGGTTCGCAGGGACATTTAAGCTTTCATTAAACTGGAAAGCAATCAAGTCTTTATGTCTACAAATTATACATTTAATAGTTCCACAAATTTGGCAAAGTTTGCGATGACATCTAGGATGTTTTCACCAAATCGTAGACATAAATATGGAAATCATCATCAAACTTGATGAAATAGACAGATGGTTTGGCTTCTACTTGATGAATGACCATGCCAGTCCTTTTGGAGCCATCTTCTTTGGCATATTCCACTTGTTTGCCTACCAGGCTGTCCACAACTTCTCCTGGTTCCCTTTCTGCTGGAGGTGAATCATCTGCAGTTAAAGGGGGAGGAAATGTAAAGTCAATTTATAGACACACACCAACTCATGTGTCTATTTTTTTTTTAATATCTGAATTCATCCTCGATTATCTAAATATTTAGACTTCATTCCATTCCACATCATCTTCCTAATCCAGTTTCAAAATACAAGAGATTTCTGATGCTTTAAAAATAGGAGCTACCTGAACGCGTTGCATTGGGCCAATCTGCTGCAAAAGACTTCTTTAAAGTGTTAAAAAGCAAAGATGTCACTTTGAAGACTAAAGTGTGCCTGGCTCAAGCCATGGTATTTTCAATTGCCTCATATGTATGTGAAAGCTGGACAATGAATAAGTAAGATCAAAGAATTGATGCATTTGAATATGGTGTTGGCAAAGAATACTGAATGTACCATGGACTGCCAGAAGAACAAACACATCTGTCTTTAAAGAGGTACAGCCAAAATGCTTCTTAGAAGCGAGGATGGCGAGACTTCATCTCATGTACTTCGGACATGTTATCAGGACGGACCATTCCCCAGAGAAGGACATCACGCTTGGTAAAGCAGAGGGTCAGTGAAAAAGAGGAAGATCCTCAACGAGATGGCCTGACACAGAGGCTGCAACAACGGGCTCAAACACAGCAAACACTGTGAGGATGGCGCAGGACTGGGCAGTGTTTCGTTCTGTTGTACACAGGGACCCTGTGAGTTGGAACTGACTCAATGGCACCTAACAACAATAAAATACTGTAAAAGAATAAATACAAAAAAGAAATTCAAAACACTGGAGTAAAGGTAACCAGGAACTGGATCCTATACTCAGTATGTTGCTTATTAAGAAGTGCTCTCTGTAAATACCTGATATGAAGAAACAGGAGCCTAAACGCACTTGTATTGCTAGCTATGATTATGAAGGAAAAAATCACATGAATGGGAAGCTTCAAATATACACTAAAAAACAATCCCAAAAAAACCTAACCTCTATTTTATTACAGAAGTCAAGCGGCAACTTATTATCAAACATTTTCTTATCTACAATTTTTGGCAAGAGGAAGAAAATTTTCACAACCTTTGACTAAGACACAATAATCACGCCCATAATAATTAAAATGGAAAAATTTATTTGTAAAATAGTTAATCAAATATCTTGTTCTAAAATCCAAACTTCTCTTAAACAATCAAACTTGAAGTGGCCGATATGTACTTACTAGAGTCAGGCATGATGCGAAGGTCACCCTCTTTATAATCATCTAAGAGCTGGTACATGTACAAGACGGGATCTTTCTCATAGGTGATGTAAAACCACGTGTTCATGATGGGCGCACGTGCTAACACCATTCCCCTCCATTCATCTTTAGAACCGTCCTCCGTCTCAAACATGTGTTCCACAGCTTTGCCAATCATTGTGTCTGCTAAATGTGCATCGCTGATTCGAGATGTTGCTGGGAATTAAAAGGAAAAAAAAAAAAACCCAGTGGCGACAAAACGTTTCATTGAGTATTTACTACGAAGACTAAACTTACTGAAGACGACCTGAAATGTGTCCGTGCAATGTATCAGCATGCATCGGAATCACCCCGGGTGCTCATTAAAAACTGCTGGGCCACACTCCCAGACTTGATTCAGGACCCCTGAGGTGAGGCCAAGAATGTGAATTCCTTACATTCCCAAGTGATGCAGATGCTGCTGGCCCCTCAAACTACTAACTTATTCATTTCTGAATTTCAGAATACTCTCTTGTAGCCACAGAGACAACTGTCTTTAAAAAACAACTAGAACTCCTATTTTATTAATCGATCAGTGCTTCTACTGCTGTTAACAAAAAAAAACCAAAGGAAGACGAGAATTCCTTGATAAATGCAATAGGTATCTTAAACATTAGGGTGATTTTCTTTGCGTAAGTATGTATTAATCATCAAAAATTACAAAGAATGAGCTCCTTTCTGTGCATGATATTTAAAAACTCCACTGGTGTCTTCAGGCCAGAAGTTAACTACTTTGTCACCTGGGGTCTCCTTTACATTCTTAAGACTCCCTGAGGACCCAAAGAGCATTTGTTTATTAAGCTATAGCTACCAGTGTTTACTATTTTAGAAACAAAATCTGAGAAATTTAAAATTACCAACGTAAACAATGTATGTTTAATAAAAATATAGTTCCTAACAAAAAAAAATTCAGTAAGAACAGTGGCACTGTTTTACATTTTTATCTCTTTAATGTTTAGTTTAAAAAACAGCTAGATTCTCATATCTGCTTCTGCTTTTAATCTGTTACAAAATCCAGTCTCACAAAGATACGCTGTTTAAAAAGGAGTACCTGAACAGTCTTTACAGATAATTTTGGATATTCTTCTATGATACTACATCAAAACTCAGTAAGTGATAGTTCCGTTAAGGTTAGTTACAATGCAGAATCTAAGACTATCATCAACAAATGTGACCCACTCTGTTACATGAAAATCCATGAGTCTGTCTTGTACTCTGAATGGATCTTTTACCAGGGCATAATTTGGTAATATCATGAATTATTCATATGGAAAATACCATGTTTGCAGAGTTATGCAGATCTTCCAAATGGACAGTAGAAAACCTCACTGTATACTTGTGAGACAGAGTGAAAAGGGTAAATTCCATAATATTATTATGAAAACAGTTTTGACCTCACGGCCCCCTGAATGGCTTCATGGAACACCAAGGATCCCCAGACCTCATTCTGGGCACTATCACTCTGTGCTACCCCATGCTTTTAGGGTGATTAACTGATTACTCCTTTGGCTTAAAGAAAACATAATTATAATCTAACATACCACCTGAAGGAAGTTAAGGAAGACTTTTTTAAAAGGCTAAATAATTTTTTTTTTGTCATGAGGTGTCCAGTCATGCTTAGGACAGATAAAAATGTCAAGATTTATACTCAACAATTAGTTACCTTTGAAAATAAAGATTTCTGTGAAAACTGAACTATGTTTATATAACATGACAAAGATTTAGCATTTGGTATTTCTTACGAGAAGATTAACAACAAAATAATTTACTGCTATGGCAAAGAATCAGCTTGTTAGGCAAACATGTACATCCTAAGAACACAATAACATAGTCTGAAGAAAAACAAAGGGAAGTACTGGACTCGTTTCTTCCCTAGACAATTTGATTTCAAAATTTCATTTTAAGAGTGGGAAAAAAAAAATGTTTTAAGTTTTTATGATATTCAATCTTCCCTCAAAGTAGATCTGCTGAAGCTTTTTTTTTTTAAGGTATAGGCTTCTAAAGACAATTCTAAAAGCAGAAAGCATTATTTTAAGCAATAGCATCACTGTAATAACAATAAAACATTTCAAAGTAAATACTCTGAAGAAAATAGCATTAATTTGGTTGTATTCTACATGATTTAACAATAAAATCAGCTGTTATCTTTTCAGCTTCACCTTATGCGTTAAGGAATATTTGCAAGGCAAAACTAATACTATATGACATAAAAAAGAAGCTATTCATTTCTATAAGCACTGTGCAAACAAACCCTAAGGAATGTATAATAAAGCTCATATATTTTGCTTTGCTTGAATTATGGCTCAAAGTACAATCCACTGTGTACTGTCATCTATGTACATACAATGAAATAAATATTTCACAAATTTCAAAATAAACATATCGTTTTCTTAGATACTATAATCTGATGAAATTTAACACACAGGATGTCTGAGCTAATGACATTGACAGTGAGCAAAAATTCTAGAAATAACCATACTAGGAATTATTACATTTACATTGTAAATTTCTTGAGGGAACAATTGTATACATCTTTATGTTTCTCACAGTGCCCTGACCTGTGGTTTTGAAACATTTACTCATCAATTTTTGTGCGTTTTAGGTGGCTAATTTAAACGGAGCACTTGAATTCCAATAAAAATACCAGTAACGCAAAAGAATGGTAAAAAGCATCCATTTCAATCATGATTTTTAAAGTATGTATTGCACAAATAGTGAAAAGAACTTACCAACTCTATCAGGGAGGACTTCAAGTGCAGAAACTCTTTCATCTTTATTAAGTTCTAGTCCATAAACACAGTCAAATCCATCGTATTTTATAAGATACAATGAAGGATTTACAGGAACCTGATCCAGAACTGTTCCTTTCCACTGTGTGACGGGTCCATTCCCTTCTTTCCACCCATGCTGAATTCTGCAGCCCACGATGTTCCGCCGGGGCTGGGAAACAGGTTTGCTGGGCCCCACACTGCTCCGATGTTTTCTGTATTCACACATATATACACATAATGGATAATCTCAAGAGTACGCATTTCTACATGCCACAAAACTACTGGCTAGCATGCTCTGACTACAGACTACCCTGAGTTACACGCTAACTAATGCTCGCCCCCTTCATCTTTCAGGTGACTCCAGATCTTCACGCTCGAGCCCCAAAAGAGCGGTATCCAAAAGTGGGGGGCCTTCGTTGTCATGTGACTCTCCATTCAACATGTGTACTATGACCTGATAGCAGCAGTTGCCTGCCGCACACCTGAACTGTGTACACATGGAAAAACAGGGTGGGAACTGCTGCTATTCAATAGCAACTTAAGCCCTTCAGTTTACCCGCCTTCTGAGTTCCCTTTAATTTCATCAACCTGCCATTATTATACAAGTTAATCAACGAAAGAAAAAGGCCAACCGCAGGAAATACTTCTTTCTGTTGTACATAAGATCATCATGAGCTGGAGCCAACTGAAAGGCAGCTAACAACAGCGTGGCTTATATAGTAGGAATCTGCTTCAAGTCAAAAAAGAAATGTGTAACTATTCAATTTTCCCTGTTCTAATGTCCAAATTATTCTGCCCCCACTAACGTAAATAGGAACATACTAGACATTCAACTATTGCATAAACTGGAGTCCAGGCTGGCTTGTATCTATGTGTGATACATCATTACTTCCCTGGCAAACACATAACGTTAGCCAAACGCTTAAGTTTGTGACAAATAATTTAATATTAAAAACCACTGATGTTACATGGAACTACATTCTTTCTGGAGATACAAGCAACTGAAAATCCTAATATTTAGAAACAATACACCTGGCCCTTGATAGGAGGATAAATCTTTGCTTCATCTAAAAATTCAAAGACACAGGACAAATCTTGACTTGAATGCAACCTGAAGGAGAAAACCCACAACATAGATGTTGATAAATGCCAAGAATTAAAAAATCAAGAGGGCAAGAGAATCTCCTTCCCACAGTTTATGAGCATAAAGCTCCCACCTGGTACACCATGAATAAGAGTGATGATCACCTGATAATTAAACACAAACTTTTAAAAGTAATTGTAGATTATAATATTTGCAACTCTAATTACACATATTCTAAATAGAAATAATTTATTCTAAATCGGTGAGGTGAATTTGTTTGCAAAACAGAAAGAGCGGTTATGGCAAACCATCAGGGCTGCCTCAGTGGGGCCTTAGTTAGGGCAGCACTCAGACCCAACGGAGAGAGCAGGAAGATGGTAGGAGGATCACAGTTTTGTCATCTCCCCAAATCTCACAAAACAGAGAGTGACTAGGATACCTAAGAACCCCTCCCCCAAGAGAACCACCTTTAATGCAGCTAGGTGTCAGGGATCCTCAGCAACCCCAGGACACAGGCAGGTGTGGCCAAGAAGCCAACTGCATCAAGAACTGTGGGGCAGCAGCCATGTCGGAGGTACTGGAGCGAAGGAAGAGGGAGCTTCCTGTAGTTGTGGGAGCTGGGAAGCACCAAATCATGAAAAAGTACTCACCCCAAAAGGAAAACTTCTCCACATGGAGTGGAAAATTCAGCAAGTGGATCTGAGAACAACCAGGGCAATGGGAAAAGGGGTTAAAAAAAGTGCAAGATGGTGAGACCAGAAAACGCTGGATCCGCCTAAGCTCTCAAGGCTCTCGGAAACATCCAGTAAGACTTCCTTCCAGGAAGGCCCAGCCCTGCACTGAGAACACACTGCTCGGAAGAAAATCCTAATGGAGCAGGGCTGGAACACAAGGGTAAAGGAGACAGTAGCTCAGACACTCATGCAAGTGGGGGCCCAAAAGAGGCAGATCTCAGAACGTATGGTAGAAGTGACTATACGCAGAAGCCGTGTTTTTAAATGTGTCGCAGGGAGACAGAAGAGGCTACCCTAGAGCGCCGAAGCCAGGAATGCTATCCCGGAACGCTCTTGCCACTTAAAAGAGACGCTCCTCTTAAAAGACAGGAAAAACCCACGTCATGTGCGTGAGTCTCAGGAAAGAAAGGAGACTGACGATCTGAATGGTATACTGAAGGGCCGTGAGGGCAGCCCTGGAAATATCCCCATGAAGAAGACGGCAACTATTACCTCACATTAAACAAACAGCGGAAGCCATCAAAGAGGAACATAAATCAGAAACAAATGCTCAGAAATAAGACGACTGAACACAGAAGGCAAGGTAAGGAAAAAAACTGGACAAGGTACGGGAACGATTAGCGATCAGAATACTTTTCAGGAATGGAGACTAAACTAGGGAACGTAAGAGCAAACACACACCATGGGACCACACGTGTGTTAAGATTAAAGGGAACATCCTTCTCATAAATGCTTTCTGAAAAATTAATCGGACAATGAGCTTCAGATAATCAAGGAACAATTAGAAAAGCTTCAGCATAATACTGATAGTAACCAATAAATACATTTAACTGTAAAACTAAGACAAACAGTGGAGATAAGCAATTGTTACATGCTCTGACAATGTAGATTAAACTCAACTCTCAAATTTGGGAAAGGAACTCTGATGGCACAGTGGTTAAGCACTCAGCTGCTGACCAAAAGGTCACCAGTTCAAACCTACCAGCTGCTCCAGCGGGAGAACGATGTGCCAGTCTGCTTCCTTAAAGATTACAGATTACCCTATGGGGCAGTTCTACTCTATCCTATAGGGTCACTATGAGTCGAACTGACTTGGCACACAGCAATGTTTGTGCTGACAATGTAGACTTAACTCTCAAATAGGGGAAGAAAGAATATGGAAAGTAAAATACGCTTGCTGTGATACAAAGAAACTGATTTGGCCTTTGTCTTTGGTTCCTGAAAGATAATCCTTGGAATTCCCCAGCAGCTGAGGTGTCTTTGTCTTCTAGAACAGCGAGGCAATCCTTGTATCTGTGCAAATGAGTGGGGCTACACAGGCCCCACTAGTCAGCCAACCTCAGGAAGGGAGGGGGCATGAGGCACTCAGTCATGCACATTCAGTCATTCGCTCACTCTTCCTCGCAGTGAGGTCCTAATTCTGACTCTGTAATGAAGCCAATAAAAAGCCAGGGACACAGAAGTTTGGGGGCTTCCTGGATTGGCGAGAGCACCTGCTAGGGAGGGTGGCATGTCCCTAGGGACAAGTCTCACATCCAGACCCCTCCCAGACCACACCCCACATATCTCTTCCTGTATATCCTTTCTGGTTATAGTAAATGGGTAACTTAAGTTCACTCTGAGAATTCTGTGAACTGTTCCAAGGGATTAACGAACCCACAGGATGGCAGTGAGAGCTGGTTACTGCCTATTTGACAGACTGAAGAATTATGTCCTTTTAACTTGTGTGTTCTAACTTAGCTTAGGATGGCTAGGATCAGAGAAGGAGGCTGGTCTGAAGTGGAGAAAATCATGTGGATTTCCCAACTTGCTGCCAATACCCACTGTCCTGGCCCACCGTGGCCAAGGACCAGAAGGAAGAGGCTAGCTGGTCTGAAGTGCAGGGAGTTGTGTGGATCCCTTTGTTTGCAGCTGGTACCCCTGACCTGGCCCAGGGTGGCTGGGGATGAGCTTGCAGCTGCTGGAGAGAGATGTGGGAAAGCAAGGACTGATCTACTTCCAGTGCAAATTGGATTCATGCTGAACCTTAGCAATGAAGGTGGGATTTATCCACCTTGCCCTTGCTTAGGGCAGTTAGCACACTCCTTTATAAAACTTGGAACAAAAGGATGCTACTTTAAATTAGATGGGAAAAGGAAGGAGAGGGTAAAAATCTAAATATTGTTCATGGTAAGAAACCAATATATATTGTCTAAAAAATAAAAGAACATGCAAAGTAAAACTTAATGGAGAGAAAAATATTTAACAAGGCACAGTAAAGTCTGTCAAAGGAATGTAAAACTACTAGTAATACTCAGAATCAAAAGAATGTGACCTTCAAGATCTTTTCATAATCTGTGGGAATATGCAACTATGTCCAGTTGACCCTCTATGGGAAAATCGCTGGCGAAGATATGTTTCTCCTTTGGGAAAGAATGTATGAATTCTTTTTTTAGCGTTACGTTTTCCTTCAAACAAAAAATCAAGTATGTATCTTATTTTATTTTGATCATTCAGCAAAACTTCCAGTGATTCACACTTGCCCCACACCTTTAGCAAAGGTTCCTAAACCTTACTACGGAAAGTATTCAATCATACGTACTGATCTGTAATTTACAGACACTTAGTTATTACTACCAAAATTGTAAGCAGTACAGCATGTTCACTAGAAAAGGTTCTTTTCTACATTATAGTGGTGTCAATTTTTCCACTACCTTCACTTTCAACAAAACCAATATAAACTTAGCCAATGATAGCAGAAAAGGGCAATCGACAGGCTCAGAATGGTGATTTTCTGACTCAGTGACTCATCACCTTCAACATTTTGAAGAGGTGTAAGATACAGGCTTTATTCCTTCCCTTTATTCTTTAACATATTTAAAAAAAAGCAGTTTTCATAATGGTCACTCACCTCCAATGGAAGTAAATAAAGCTTTCTTCCCTTTTTTGAGTATTAAATGGACTCAAATATGCCTAGGAGTCCTTTTCAAACTGGCTCCTATGTCCTTTAATTCGGAAGATATATGATCCTTTCTTTTTGGGTGGATTTTATTTTCTCTTTTAATAAGGCAAGTTTAATCACTGACTTTTGCTGTGATAAATGATCTGCCCAGTCTTACTGACTTGAAAGATGTTTCTCTAAACCAAATGAAAATTCTAACAGCAGCTCTATTTTATTCGCCGTTTTCCAGCGTTACCATTAAATTTCAAAAGAACGTATTTAAACTTATGTTTTCTCCTAAAATCTACAATTAATCAATACTTTCCCCTTCCCATCCCAAGCAAAACTAAAAACAAGAAGCTCTTAGCAAAAGCAGAGAAAAGGGTTAAGGAAGAAAGAAAACCATTGCAGCACATTTTAAGTAACCTTACCTGGCCACTTCCACCATGCTGCTGAAATTTAAGCTTTTGTTCC